AAAAAAAAACCCCCCCTTTTTGCCCCTGCACCCCAAATCTCAGCCCAGCAGAGCACAAAGAGCCCCCCCCCCCGTCTAGTATATACAATATAAGGTATAAATAGATAAATAACCTTCCACCCCTGTGCCGACGGTGCCCACGCGCAGCCCCGGCCGTGGGGGGGGCTATGGGCGAGCAAGGGGGGCCCCCACCCTGCCCCCTCCAGCCCCCCCCCAGCCATGGGGGCCACGTGCGAGAAGGGGGGGCCCTCACCCAGCCCCTCAGCCCCCCCCCCCAGAGCTGGGGGAGCGGGTCTGGCCCCCCCCCCCATCCCCACCTCACACCTTGGCACCTCCACGGCTGGGACCTCCTGGGGAAGAAGGGAGGCAACGAGGAGGGGGTGTCCCCGTGTCCCCCCCCTCCAAAGGGGCCTCCTGCAGCCACATCCGAGGAGGAGGAGGAGGATGGGGGGAGCCCGAGGGAGAGAGGGAAAGACCCCCCCGGGGCGGGGGGGGCCGGGTTGGGGGGGTGGCGGTGGTGGGAAGAGGAGGGGGGGAAAGGAGGAGGAGGGGAGGGGGGGGCTCACATTTAAAAACAACAACAAATAAAAGAAACAAATCTAACACTTAAAATGAGGTAGGTTTGGGTGCAGAAGCTCCTTGTGTCTGTCGGGGTCTTGGCCTCATCCCGCCGCCGCTCCGGGGTCTCGTCCACACGCACAAACAAAAAGAGATCAAAAAGGAACCGAGCGAGCTCTGGCCGCCCTGGCAGGGGCGGGGCAGAGCCCGGATTGTCGAGCTCAAGGAGTCTGTGTTACCTTGGTAATTAGCGAGCAAATATTATTAGTTTCTAAAAAAAAAAAAACAAAACAAAAAAACAAAAAAAAACAGAAAAACCAAAAAAAAAAAACAAAACAAAACCAAAAACCCAAAAGAACCGAAAACAAAATAAAATAAAATAAAATAGAATAAAATAATCGTTTACATCCGGGCCGGCTCCGCGCGCTGGGCCCGGCGCTGCTCCCCCGTGGCTCCCCCACGAGGGAGGCTGGCGGTGAGGGGGGGGTGCTGAAGGGGGGGCTTCCGAGCCCCCCACTCCATTTGTTTGTTTGTTTGTTTGTTTGTTTGTTTTTTTCCTCGCAGGACGAAGCAAAGAAAACCCTGAGTTGCCAGTTCGTCCGTCCGTCCGTCCCGCCCGGGCAGGGCCGGCGGCGCCGCGGCCGCTCCTCCCTCCGTGCCCGGCTGCCCCCGGCACCTCCCGCGGCCCCGGGGAAGGGCTTGGCGAGGTCTCCCAGGCCGGGGGTGGCGGCCCCCAGCCCCGTTTTTTCCCAGCTAGTTCATCCACTTCCTGCAATTCCAGGCTCCACAGTGGCAGGGGATCTTGTGCTGATCGTCCTCGAAGTCGAACTGGTAGTCGTAGGTGAGCTGAGGGGAGGAGAGGGGAGTCACCTACGGGGCAGAGCTCAGTCCTGCCACTTCCAGACCCCCCTCCCAGCCCCCTCTGCCACCCTCCAGACCCCCCTCAGCCCCCCACTGACCTCCTCCCCCTTGGGGATGCGCCGGCTGGAGATGATGATGATCTTGTCCTCCTTGTCGAAGGTCACGACTTCGGCCACACAGTTCGGGGCACACGAGTGGTTGATGTACCTGGAGGAGGTGGAAGGTTACAACCGACCCAGGGGCAGGACAGACGGACACCATGGATCCCTCTGGGGGGGGGGCCCACCCTCCCCAAGCCCCCCCCCCGTGCTCACCTGGCCGGGCCCCCCGTCAGTGTGGCGTCAATGACGTGCTCGTTGTTGATGCGGAACATGTAGATGCCACGGTTCTGCCATGGGGGGACAAAAGGGTGTCAGGGGTTGCACCGAGGTCCCCACATCCCACCTGAGACCCTCATATCCCACCAGAGCCCTCAATACCCCATCTGAGACCATGTCCCACCTGAGCCCCCAAAATCCCATCTGAGCCCCGCCGAGTTCCCCCTCATCCCACCAGAGCTTCCAACGTCCCACCAGAGCCCCTCCAAACCCCAACCAAGTCACTTCCCATCCCACCAGAGCCCCCAACATCCCGCCCAGGTCCCCCCACCTCCCGCCAGAGCCTTCAATGTGCCCCCCAAGTGCCCCCCACATCCCCACCTGCTCCTCGTAGATCTTCTCCCGCCGGTTGGCCACCTCGTTGCGGATGATGGTGCCGATGTACTCGATGACCATCGTGTGCTTCTCGATGTCCTTGGCCGCGTAGAGCCCCAGCCCCTGGATGCGGGAGCGCGCCAGGTACACGTTGTTCTTCCACTCCGTCTTCAGGCGCCGGTACTGGGAGGACTTGGAGTGCACGAACTGTTTGCTGTAGGGCGTGTTGGTCTCGCCCGTGAACGTGCTCTGGTAGGCCTTGGACATGCTTGTGCTGTTCAGGGTGTGGGGCCTGCCAAGGAGGGGGGGGGATGAGAGGGGTCAGAGCAGAGGGATCCCCAGGGATCCTGGCTCTCCCAGCAGATCCCAGCTCTCCTGGGGGATCCTGGCTTTCCCAGTGGATCCCAGCTCTCCCAGCAGATCCCAGCTCTCCC